CCTGGCGGCCGCCACCGCCCTCCGCATCCGCCGAGTGCGCGCCTGCCCGGCCGCAGCTGTGCGCTCGGAGCCGCGGCCAGGTTCCGCCCGGGGCGCCGCAGGTGACCGTTGGGGCGGGCTGAGATGCGGTGGCCCAGAAGCCCTGCTGGCCGCGCTCCTGCCTCTGCGGCTTCAGGCCGGAATTCGCCAGTTTTACTGGGTCCGTGACACTCAGCTTTGGGGCGGTGAATGCCTAGGACCGGTGTCTCTTTGAGGCGCCTTTCACATGTTGCTTGCCGTTTTGCCCTAATATGGTCTTTTTGGTTTTCCAGCAGCACCTCTCAGGGAATTCCTTTTCACGGTTTGTATTTTCCTATTCCAGGGCAGTGCGTTACAGCCAGAAATCTGGGTGTGCTGTCTTGGGAACAGCGGCCCGACGTGTTCGCAGTCAGTTCTCTGATTAGATCTCACCTTCTATACGTGCTACTTACGTGCGTGGCCTGCATTCCTCGTGTGAGGACGAGATGGGTTGCACCAGGCTCCCAGTCAGCAGGCCTTGTGTGAAAGCTTTGGACCCAGGGAGGTTCCCTTTTCCGACCTCGGTCTCTTGCTCTAGGTGTCTCGCGGAAAAAATGTAGAGGCCGTCAAATTTATGCGAAATGATCATGGAGCAGGTTTATTTTGTTGAAATTAGACATGTAGAAATTTATAGAGATTAAAGTACTGTGCTTGGTTGAAAACACGAAGACGCTGTCTTTGCTGTGGGTGAGGAGTGAGGAGGTGAGGAGTGCTTAGACAGACTGCAGAAAGCCAAGGGCTCTTGAGAAGGGGCAAGACAGTGTTGCTGGGCTCGCCCCTTGTGTCAGCCTTGTCATATCACAGTTGAACTTTCTTAGTGGCCTGTGGTAATGTGCTTTCCAGTAGCGATTTTTATTTTCCTTTTCGACTTTGTTAGGAGATTCTGGTATCCGTCAAACTACTAGCTTTCTTCATGTTTGCTTCTTTCAAACTCATTTTGCGCCTTCAGATTATCTGAAAACTTCAGTGTAAGAGGTAAAGAAGGTTGAATGTTGGGCCATCACTTTCAGTTTTGTGAAGGTGGCTTTTGCTTTCGCATATAGCAGCTGGTTTGTTTTTTGGAGACAGTGTCTGGATGTGTATTTCAAGCTGGCCTAGATCCCACTATTAGCCCAGGCTGGCGTTGAGTTCCTGGTCCTCGTGCCTCAGCCTCCTGAGCGCCTGTAGGGTGGGTTACAGGCGTGCACCCCCCACTCTTGGCTTAGCAGCTGTTTTGTAACTGCAGGTTTATGCAGAGGTGCTCATGGACCAGCTCCAAGCTCCCAGAGAGCAGACCTGGGATGCGTGTGCGCCTCTGATCACGTGAGCTGAAGGCAAGTCCACAGCGAGGCTTTCTTCTAAGGAGGCAGTATTTCCCTCCCACCACGTTGGGAAAGGTGAAGACAGGCTGAAGACACTGTGAAATGGCCCCAACTTAAGACAGCTTAAGTACCAGATTAGCTTTTCCCCAGAGATATTTGGTGTCAGAATGCCTTTTCAGGGGTTAGTTGAGGCTGAGTTGTGTTTTAACAGACTATTTTTGATATTTATATTTTCTAGTTAGCTACTGCTTTCAGCGCCCCCAATGATTTCTTAAAGGAAAAGAGGAATGGCGCATCCTGGTTACTGTGTTATTTCGGTGCATACGCATCTTAATTAGCTGGAGAAAATCAGATACTATCCCTAAATGAGTTGTTCTGGTTATGGAAGGAATTTTGTAAATTAATTTTAAAGGAATACTGTGTCATGTGTACATACTGTTAGACCTTGAGAGGCATTGTTGTTTTCAAGTTGGAAAACATTTCTCCTTTAAGTTTAAAAACCAGACAGTTGTGTGCTGGAAGGCAGTACATGCAGCGGAGGTGATCTCTTCACCTTAACAGCTTTCCTTTGCTGCTCAACATGCGTCTTTTGAAAAAAATTTGTTTTTATTTTTATATTTTGATTAGGATGGAAAAGTTGGGTGCTGCAGTGGTAATTTTTTTCCACTTGTATCTCAAACACAAGCCGAGTGATTGTGAGGGTGGCGTGAGAAGATGGATGTAGGGCTGCCTTTCAGGAGGAGGGGTGTGGGTGGCCAGCCAGGCCAGCGGAGCGCGTTTCTTCAGGCCTGGAGAAACTGAGGTTTCTGCTTCGGTGCTCAGGTACTTGGCACTTGTTCTCCTGGGGGGGGGGGTGCATTTTTCCTCCACTCAAATGATCACATCAGCTGCCATGACCTAAGTGAGCATCTAAAAATTGTAGCTAGCCAAAGCAAAGGCTGCCTTCCCACGTTAAAAAGCTGTTTGGCTAAAGGTGTCATACCTGTAATGTGTGTGTACCAGCTTTTTATTTTAAGACCAGAAATTAAGAACATGAGATTCCAGTTGCTTTAAGTGGTACTTGACGTGTGTTATTCATTTAAGCCCAAATTAATAAGGCGTAGTTTTAAAGATATTATTAACAGGGCTGCGGAGGTAGCTCAGCGGTCTAAATGCCTTTTTGGCAAGCTCACGGGCCTGAGTTCAGTCCCCAGTACTACATACCACATTGGCCCAGAAACCCCAGGTGCAGTGTCCCTGCCCCGAAACCAGGCATGGTGGTGCCCTCCCGTAATCTCAGTGCCGGGGATGCTGAGACGGGAGGATCACTACAAGTCTGGGCTGTGTAGCGAGACCCTGTATCTGATCAATAAATAAGTAGATAAATAAAATTTTTAAAAAAGACATTGGATTTTTTTGGCCGCCTCTAGATGCCTTTAGGGCACTTCTCTTTGGCGGGAGTGTCTGGGTTTGAACCACAGCATCCTGAGCCTGAATGCTTCGTTTTAGCAGGCACTTAAACCACTGAGCTAATGGGCAGGCCCCTGAAAAAGACATTGTTAACAATTACTGTGCAGTAATTTTTGTTTAATGTATTTAGTGCAGGCTCTCCAGGGTCTCACTACACGAATTGGACTCCTAGTGATCCCCATTTTCAGCCTCTCAAGTGCTGGGATTACAGGCGTGCCACCACACCCAGTATCAGTCAGTGTCTCAGCGTTCCCAGAGGCGGGTGGGAGGTGGGGCTGGCATGCCATGCCAGAGGTGGAACCCTGGTCCCTGTGTCTGCCTGAGCAGGCGCTTTAATCTGCTGAGCTCTCTGGCTGGCCCTGAAATAATTTTGTAATAGCAATGAGCGTTGATTTAGTTGTCTAGATGTAGCTCATGTTCTTAATATGTATTCACACAGATTTGATGATCAGCATACATTAAGTTTTCTGTTGTAAATTTTGAAACACTGATAGAAGAGATGGACTTTAGTATTACTATCGGCTCAACGAAGTTTTCTGGGTCTCCAGGCTGCTGTGAAGGCAGGTTGTAGTTCCGGAACGAGCGCTGTGCTGGACTCCCGCTGGCCTCAGGAGGCTGGGACCAGCTGTTTCTGGAGGTGCGCAGGGCTGGGTGACTGTCCTGGGAATCTAGGCCGCAAGGTTCACATGACCAAGGTTTTGTGCTTAAGAGCTGATTCTGCGCTCCCATGCAGTGCTGCCACCGTTGTGCGGCCAACCGTGTTTCAAAGGACTCTTGTGGTGGCCACCTCAGAGGAGTGAAGGAGCCTGCCCAGTGTAAGGAGACCCCACTCTCCTGGCGCGGGTGCGTTGGCCCCGTGGGGAGAGGAACCCTCCTTTCATGCTGTCTTTCCACCTGCGCAGCAGACCCGCTGTTACTAAATTTATCTGGGAAGGTGGAAGGCAGCCAAAGTCCCAGGTGGCTCGGAGCAGGAATTGCTCTTTTCCTGCTTTCTTGCACAGTTGTGGTTTAGATCAGTAGGCAGTGAAATGTAGACCAACTGTAGTATTCGTATAAAGTTTAGTTGCTGCTTCTAGAAAAGAACTTTTTTTTAAAGTTGACAAATAATGGTATATATACCATTGATGTACAGTGTGATGCTACGATACTTAAATACATTGTGGAGTAATTAAGTTACTTAACATATCCATCACCTTACATACTTCTCTGCGGTAGCGTTCAATTTTCTCAGTGTTGATGTCTGTCATACGTCATGAATACCTGTGGTCATCATACTGTGCAGCAGCTCCCCGAGGCTCTTCTCACCTGAAGCTCCCTGTGACGAGCATTCCCTCCTCCCTCTCCAACCTCCAGCACCCTCTTCATTGAGTTGGACATTTTTAGGTTCTACATGTAAGTGAGCGCACGCAACCTGTCACGGCTTGTGTCTGGATGTCCCCTTAAAGCCTCATGCAGTCCTAGGTGGGGCTTTTCAGAGTGGCTGGCTCTAGGGTGTGTGATTGTTTGATGCCAGGATAAGGATGTGATTACTAAATCCGTCCCCTGATCGGTTTTAGCATAGCTGTGGGTGGATAATGAGAACCCTCACCTGGGTGCAGCAGGCACCACCAAGGGGTGGGCAGCCTGGAAGGGACCAGAGGGAGAGGCAGGCTACTGCTGCTGCTCTGCCACTTCACTGCTTCGCCGCTCTGCTGCCTTCTGTCTGTCCTGCCCTGCTGGGGGCTGTC